CCCTTTAGTTAGCTAATGTTTCTAAGCATAGCTAAGCAAACTTACATATAGCATTTAGCTGAACCAATCCAATATATAAGGTTCATGCTAATCAAATTATAACCCATAGGAAAATAAGATCATCTTCGGCCATTAATTAACGGGGAAAGGTTCACCACCCGATGACATTAAAAAATAATGCATAGTTGAAATAAAATAATAGCTTTAAACGGGTTCAACATGCTCAAAGGGTTGTTTGGGATCTGTGTGACTTGCCTTGGGCTTCCGCAAACACTTCCGAACCTTGCTCAACGAAAACGCTCTCCTTCAGAACGTCGGAAACTAAAGCAAAAGAATAAAAATCAACAAAAAAGTACAAAAACAAGCATAAACAGTACATGTGAATATTTTTATCATGTAGATCTTGATTTTAGAAAAATTTAGCAACTTGAACCACCTGAAACGGATCTACGGTTATTTAGTTATGATTTTCAGAAGATTTAATCTATTAGAAAAACGGGAAAAAGAAAAACCGATGATGTCATGATGACATCATCAATGGCCGGCCCGGGTTGGCGACCTCGCCGGAGATTGGATGGTCGGCTGCGACTTTGGAGGATATGTACACGTAGAGGACGACGAGATGAACCCGATGGTACTCACCAATGCGTCCAACGACGACCGACGGCGGCCGGCAACGACGCAAGAGGCGGCGGCGGCTCGGTTGAACGGCGGTGATGGCGCTACGACGGCCGGCGACGGCGGAGAAGGGGCGGCCGAGCTTCCCCGCTCCCGTGCGCACCTAACGGCGGCAACAAGAGGCGGCAACGACGGCGGACGCGGCGGCGCAGCGTGGCCGGAGGATGGCCGGCAGCGGCGGCGGCTTGACACGCGCGGCGGCGACGCTACAGAGCACGGGAGAGGACGGGAGAGGGGGCAAACAAAAGAGGAGGACTAGGGGGTCCTATTTATAGCCTTGGATTGAAGAGATCGGACTCCTCCCGCAAGAAATCGATCCGGGAAATCAAAAACTCGGTTTTGGAGATAAACTGAAAAACGAGTTCGATTCGGATAAAATACTCAACCATTTGCTCCGATTCTTGAGGGGAAAGATAGAGCAGGATGTGGGGATAAAAAACCCTCAAACAATCGGAAGAAGAGAGGCCGGATTGGGTGCGGGATCGGCGCGGCAAGTTGGCGCGGTGGCCGACTCGGGCTCGGCTCAACAGCCGGCCGGAGGTTGAAGGTGACCCCGACATGTGGGCCCCACATGTCGGTGGCTAGAGGAGGAGGGGGCGGGGCGGCTCGGCTGGGCCGACTTGAGCCGGCTTGGCCGCGCGCGGGAAGAGAAGAGTTGGGCCGGAAACGGCCCAACAACTTTAGGGAGGGGTTTTGGAACTTTTTAATTAAAATAAATGGTGAAATGTTGTTTCAATTATTAAAAATACTTCCCTTGCTCAAACAATTCCCATAAAATTCTAGAAAAATAGAGGAACAAGCAAAGTATTTAATAAAATTTTATCTAGCCCAATTTTATATTGAGATTTAGCAAATTAAAATTAGATCTTCTCTTTTAAGCTTTTAAAATCATTTCTAATAATTCCTTTTAAAGAACAATTTATAATTTAAGGATTTTAAACAAGAAAAGCACTTAACAATTATAATTAGATCATTATTGATCAAATAATTACTGAACTGTTCTTTGTATCATTTAGGAATTGAGCTCCGAAAAATCCGAGAAAATTCCAGAGAGTATAATTAACCATGGAGAATTTAATAAAAATTAAATCCATCCATGCTTTATATTTAGGAAATTTTATTTCCCACATTTAACTTCACTTGTAAATTAATAAACATTTAATATAAATTCTAATAATAATTTATTAAATAATTTATAAATCCTGAAACAAAAATCAGGATGTGACAGACTATCTGTCCAAGAGTTTTGAAATAAAGGATTTGGGACAGGCTGATGTTATTCTTAACATCAAACTACAAAGAGGAGATGAGGGTGGGATTACACTTGTGCAATCCCACTATGTGGACAAGGTTTTGAGTCGCTTTGGATATAGTGACTGCAAGCCAGCTCCTACTCCTTATGATCCCAGCGTGCTATTAAGGAAAAACCGAAGAATAGTAAGGGATCAACTAAGATACTCTCAAATCATTGGTTCATTGATGTACCTGGCTAGTGCAACGAGGCCTGACATCTCATTTGCTGTAAGCAAGCTGAGTCGGTTTGTCTCAAATCCGGGAGATGATCATTGGTAGGCTCGGGAAAAAGTAATGCGCTATCTAAAGGGCACTATGAGCTATGGAATTCACTATACCGGGTATCCAAAAGTACTAGAAGGGTATAGTGACTCAAACTGGATATCTGATGCTGATGAGATAAAAGCCACAAGTGGATATGTGTTCACACTTGCAGGTGGCGCTGTTTTCTGGAAGTCTTGCAAGCAGACCATCTTAACGAGGTCAACAATGGAAGCAGAACTTACAGCACTAGATACTGCGACAGTTGAGGCCGAGTAGCTTCATGAACTCTTGATGGATTTGCCGGTGGTTGAAAAACCAGTGCCAGCTATCCTAATGAACTGTGATAATCAAACAGTGATTATTAAAGTGAACAGTTCAAAGGACAACATGAAGTCATCTAGGCATATCAAGAGAAGACTGAAATCTGTCAGAAAGCAGAAAAACTCCGGAGTGATAGCTTTGGACTATATCCAAACGGTTAGAAATCTAGCAGATCAGTTTACCAAGGGGCTACCACGTAATGTGATAGACAGTGCATCGAGGGAAATGGGCTTGATACCCACCTAAGGTTGCACAATAGTGGAAACCTGTCCATTGTGATCGGAGATCCCGTGAATTTGGATGGCGAAACAAACTATTGTGTGACTGAGAGAAGAGACCCTTGAAAAGGGCTCGTTTTCATGATGTACTTATCTTCTTTCCTGCATGGTAGGATGGCTCATGCCTTAATGTGATCCGAGTGGCTTTTCCAAGCAGAGATGTTGACCTGCAGAACATCTCAGAAGGAACACACCTATATGAGTTCGACTGCTAGTCACAGTCTATGAGGTTTGGGCGATCTCTAGATATTCATGAAAGGCCTGGAGTTTGACTTATATGCTCCAAACAGAGGGGACGCGAACGGCAGCCCAGTACCAGTCAAGGGTCTGAGTGAAACCTGATCACACAAAACTGACAATTCAAAGCATAGTCCATTGTTCAGTTGTGGTCTGATGTAGCTCATTTCCTAGGTGGAAGTTCAACTTAACAGTCTCCACCAAAACCCTGGTATATCAAACAGGCACAACCTTGAGAACATTTCTTATGAGCCTTGAAATTTGGTGGGGATTGTTAGAATAATTGGGCTAGGCCCAATTTATCCTATTAAATCTCAAAGGCCCATAATAAGTGTTAAGGATAATAATATCACCTTAGGATTTAAGCGAGGAATATCTCAACCTAAATAGGGAGTTATTGGAGGCTCCCTGTTGACTGGTTGAGGTGGGGGTCGGAAAGCCACACGCGCGCGCGCGGCCGGCAGGGCGGGGCCGAGGGCGTGGGCGAGGCGTGGCTTGGCTTGGCTGGCGTGCGTGCATCACGTCGCTATTCTTTTGCAACCACGAACCCACGTTCCCACGACTGTCTCCGCAACGGCGCGTCCACGATCCCACGTTCCCACAACTGCCTCTCTCCTGATAGATAAGGAGGCCGCGATTCCGATCAAAACGATCCGCTTGCTTCTTTCCCGGGTGTTAGTTCCTCCTCCTCCGCACCTGTGCTGCTCTCGCCTCCTCGCTTCTGATCGCTTGCGCGCACGAGAGATCGGAAGGAGCAGGGCCTCCGGAACCACACCTTCGCCTGAGATCTGCACCGGGTAGGCGGGTGATCAGGTGATCAGGTTTTTGGGTAGTGCTTCCCGCACGACTGCTCGTCCTCGTCCACCATGTCTACGCCTGGAGCCGGAGCTGCCGCCGGCGCCGCCGCTACTGCTGCTGGAGGAGATGGCGCGCCTGGAGCCGGTGCCGCGAACGTCGACACCAACGGAGGCAATTCTGCCTCACAATCCAGCGGAGGGCCATTCTCGGGGTATATCCTTCTCCTGCTCCTGTTGTTAACGCTGTTCATAGCGCGGTTAATCCTGTTAGTCGCAAGTGACTTGCGTTCTTGCTATGTTCCTGTTCCTGATTTTCATGATGCCTATGATGCTATTAGCATGCTACTGGTTATGTTACATGTTGTCACTAGATCACTCTACACTGTTCATGCCATAATTATTGTCTTAACATTTTGGATTAAAATATGCTGATATATGACCATATTTCCAACAGTTTATTCCTGAGAAAGCGAGAGATTGAGGTTTAGCTCCTCTCTATCTGGCAACTTCGCCATGGCCGGTCCAAATCCTCGTCAAGGCTGCACTTTGTGATCTTTCCATGGCTCGCGTTCAGTCACCTGCTCCCAATATATTCCTACTTACATATTCCCTCCGTTTCAAAATAAATTAACCTCGTAAAATATTTTATATGAGATTGGTTTATTTTGGGATGGAAGAAGTAATTTGGACCCACCTCGACTGCCACACCAAACCGACAGATTTTAAAAATGTTAGTACTTCCGTCTCATTTTAAGCGTCCTGTGTCTAATTTTGATCGCCAATCTTTTTTAAAATTTTTTATGATTAGTATTTTAATTATTATTAGATGATAAAAATATGAATAATACTTTACGCGTGACTTATGTTTTTTTATTTTTTTAAATATGATGGATGATTAAAGTTGAATGCAGAAACTTATTGTTGTGTTTAAAATTTAGAGTACTACCTTTCAAGGCATGCAACAAACTAACAAGCCAAATTTAGCCACTGGCAAGTCATCATCAGACAGTGGATTCTCTTTTTTGTTTTCTCGTTCTTTCTCTAAACTGTTGTAGATACTTTTTCATTTCTATTAATGGAAATGGAGGGCTCTTGCCCTTTGCTCAAAAAAAAAATGCTTTAACTGTGCCAAGCACCGGCAAGTCTAGGTCCACTCTATCTGTCTGTATCTGTCAACTTCGCCATGGACGCCGGGTCCAAATCCTCCTCAATTGCAAGTCTTCATCACTCATTATAATCTCCCCCAACTTGTGCTGCCAGGTGTAGAGCTAGCTCGTCTTCGCCATGGATGCCGGCTCCAAATCCTCGTCGTCGGGGCCGCTGCACCTTGTGATCTTCCCATGGCTCGCGTTCGGCCACCTGCTCCCTTACCTCGAGCTCGCGGAGCGCGTGGCGTCGCGCGGCCACCGCGTGTCCTTCGTCTCCACGCCGCGCAACATCGCGCGCCTCCCGCCGGTGCGCCCCGCCGCCGCGGCGCGCGTCGACCTCGTGGCGCTGCCGCTCCCGCGCGTCGACGGCCTCCCCGACGGCGCCGAGTGCACCAACGATGTCCCCTCCGGCAAGTTCGACCTCCTCTGGAAGGCCTTCGACGCCCTCGCCGCGCCGTTCGCGGAGTTCTTGGGCGCGGCGTGCCGCGACGCCGGCGACGGCGAGAGGAGGCCTGATTGGATCATCGCCGACACGTTCCACCACTGGGCGCCCCTCGTCGCGCTACAGCACAAGGTGCCATGCGCGATGCTTCTCCCGAGCGCCTCCATGATGGTCGGATGGGCCATCCGGTCGTCGGAGCCAGCCGGCGCCTCCATGTTCGAGGTGCTCGGCGCCGTAGAAGAACGCCGGATGGACATGCCATGCTACGAGTGGGAGCAGAAGGCAGCTCTTTTCGTCGCCGATGGCGCGTCGGGCATGTCCATCATGAAGCGCTGCTCCTTGGCGATGGAGAGGTGCACGGTGGCGGCCATGCGGAGCTGCCCGGAGTGGGAGCCCGAGGCGTTCCAGCAGGTGGCGGCGGGCCTGAAGAAGAAGAACAAGCCGCTCATCCCCCTCGGCCTCGTGCCGCCGTCGCCCGACGGAGGCCGCCGCCGTGCTGGCAGCATGTCGACGGACAACTCCACTATGCAGTGGCTGGACGCGCAGCCGGCGAAGTCGGTGGTGTACGTGGCGCTGGGGAGCGAGGTGCCGCTGCGACTGGAGCAGGTGCACGAGCTGGCTCTCGGGCTGGAGCTCGCCGGGACACGGTTTCTGTGGGCGCTGAGGAAGCACGCCGGCGTGGATGCCGCCGACGACGTGCTCCCTCCGGGTTACCGGGAACGGACGAACGGCCATGGACATGTCGCCATGGGGTGGGTACCGCAGATCGCCATACTGGCGCACGCCGCGGTGGGCGCGTTCTTGACGCACTGCGGCCGCAACTCGCTCGTCGAGGGGCTCATGTTTGGGAACCCTCTCATCATGTTGCCCATCTTCACGGACCAAGGGCCGAACGCGCGGCTCATGGAGGGTAACAAGGTAGGGTTGCAGGTGAGGCGGGATGACACGGACGGGTCGTTCGACCGCCATGGCGTCGCAGCCGCGGTCCGGGCCGTCATGGTGGAGGAAGAAACCAGGAGGGTGTTCGTAGCAAACGCCCTCAGGATGCAAAAGATTGTCACTGACAAGGAACTCCATGAGAGGTACATCGACGACTTTATACAGCAGCTTGTTTCTCACGTCGCGGATAGCAGCTGCAATATTGCCACACCAGTTCCTTCCAGTTCTAGCTGAGATTATTTCCACTACTACAGAAAGCGTTTTTGCATACGGGCGGAATCGATCTTCACATGCGGTTGGCCGGCCCGCATGCGCGAAATGGTCTGCAAAGATCACCATTTGCGCATGCGGCCGTCGCAGCCGCATGCGAAGATCGATCTTCGCATGCGGTCACTTAAGACGGCCGCATGCGAAAATAGATCTTCGCATGCGGTCCATATAAGAAGCCGCATGCGAAGATATATTTTCCCATGCGGTCGACCTAAGAAGACCGCATGCGAAGATCTATTTTCGCGTGCGGCCGTCTTAAGTAGACCGCATGCGAAATTCAATTTCCGAATAGCTAAAATAATATTTATTCTAGCATTTTGGTGATTCGTAATTAATATTAAATTATTGAGGGATTTATTATCGTATTTCGGAGTAGTAAGCATATAAGATAAGACAAGTGCCGCAGTAACAAACATGTAATACATAACCATTAATTCAATCGTAATTTACATACAAATATATAATACAAGTGGCACAGTTTTTTCATCATATGTATAAGTAGTGTACATGTTATTGCATATGTTCTTTCTCCCACTCTCTGAGAGGTTTAAATTTGTCGTCCATTGCGAGTTCACTCTGGTTGTCGTAGAAGAGACCTCTTGCGTTGCAGACATCGCGACGGATGAATCGGCAGAGGTCAGCGGCCACGTTCAAGATAGTAGTGTGATTGAATCGTTGTGCAATATATGGGATTTCGGGGATCTGCACACAGAAAGGAAAATAAAACGGTACTCAGTGAGAAGTGTGTGCGAGATGGGTTTCTTTGTAGAGAAGAGTTCGATGACCTACTCGGTTACTGGTTGTTTTGTACCTCCCATTTACTCTGAGCATCTCGCACACGTAATAACCACACAAGTTGGTTCCTGGTGGTTGTTTGTAGCACTGCGATATAATTATGGGGACCGATCTCAGTAGATATATTTAGTATATATGTACTGTTCGATAATTAGTTGTATTGGTATAAATTTGATAGTACCGGCCAGCCAGTCCTGACGGATAACTTCTTCTGGGATGGAATATGTACTGGTCCACCTCTTTTGCGGTAGTACTTGTGTGCTCTGTTTGAAGGAAACAATTATTTTATTAGTAGTTAGAAGACTGGTGATCGACCTAAACAATTTATAGTAATGAAATGTTTATCACTTACAAATTCAAAATAGTGAGGAATTCCATAAATGTCTCCTTGTCATAGTGTGCGGGGTCCAATGATATGATCAATTGGTCTTTCGGATATACAAGGAATAATATGTAGTGGTCTCTACATATAAGATAGGCTTATTGGAGACAGAAAATTCCGAAGAAGATAAATTAATTAAACAAAAAGAAGAGAGAGCTTACGTGAACTGGTAGGGGACCATTAAGACATCTTTGTCGGCGTGCGCCAACATTGCTATTGCCAAGTATGTTGCTACTTCTAGCTTCTTCCTCTTGTGCAATGTCTTCACATATTCTTCCTTTTCTTCCGGGGTCTTGCCAACCAATTGCTCGCAGTCCTGTCTCAGCTCTACGGTGTGTTGTGTTTTGCATATTCTTGTTGGATCGACGTATCCAACCTTTGCTCTAGTTCTATCAGCTTCGTGGAATTGCATACTGTACAATGAATAAAGAAGAAATGAGATTTGGTTTATTTGTTTCGAATGAAACGTGCAACATGTAATAAAGAGTTCAGACTTACAGACAGAAAGCCGCAACGAGATTAACGTCCATTTTATCTAGCTTGTAGAGGGCGTAAAGGTCTTGGAAAGAGATAAAAAATATCCCATTAGGACCACTCATGAAAGCGCCTTCCGGGACGGCGACGCTTATGAAACCGAGACCTTTCCTAGATGCCTTCATATACCATTCGTGCATTACCCTCATTTCCCATGGTAGCTTGTTCATAAGATAAGTTGGCAAGAATGGCTTGCCATACTCATAAGTTTCAGGCACATCGGCAGATAACCAGGATTGCACTTCATCTTGGGCCGCTAGTACTGACTTCTGGGAGTCTGACAAGACGTTAGCAAGTTCTTTTCTCTTCTCAGAATTCCTGAAAGCTGAAAACATGAACTTCTCCTTATCCTTGTCAATCTCCTTTGGGTCGTATGTCGATATCAACTTTGGAATTATACGACGAGGTTCCAAAGTATTAGACTTTGGTTCGGATGTAGTACCATCTGGTATGTGCACTTATTCTACCAGAGCAGATTGGGGTGTAGGTGGAGAGGTTTGAACTGAGGGCGGAGCCGGGGGAGCATGCTGTTTAGTTGGGGAGGTGGGAGAGGCTTGAACTGGTTGCGGGGTCGGGAGAGGCGGTTGTTGAGAAGGGGAGGGTGGTGGTGTAGGTTGGCGAGGCGGTGACCTAAGCGGTGGTGGTGACGGCGGATGTCGAGGTGACGGTGGTTCAGGAGGCGACGGTGGTGCAGGAGCGGCAGCAGTCATTGCCTGCGATGAGGATGGGGTTGAAGATCCTGCTGCAAGAACGGCCGCGCTCAGGATTATGTCTCTGCGGTGCCATAAGATAAACTGATTCACTGCATCACCGAGAAGTTCAATCCCCTCAGGTGCTGGTATGTCTAGTTCCAAGGAAACGTGGTCGCTATGGACCTTGGCGACCTGTACCCTTGCGTAATCCTCAGGGATTGCCGTGTTGTGGAATTGACGTCCGGGTATCGCTAAACCCGTTGCAACCTCCTTAGTCTTTCCAGCGCGGCCGATTGGTACGACGAGACTGCACGGAGTTGGTCCAGTTATACTATCCACAGGGAAGGTACTTGTCTGCACTGAGCCTACACTGCTGGGTACATTAGTTGTTTGCTGTGCGGATTGTGTGGGTTGCTGGCTATCAGGGAATAACCTTGGAAAAGCTGTCGGGTTTTCAGCTGCCAACGAGTAGAAGTGTTCCTTCACTTGCGCATAGATCTTGTCCGATAGTTGTTCTTTGTATTTGTCTCTCTTCTTATAACTTGGTGCGTCTTGTGGAAACCCGACCTTCCAACTTGTCTTTGAGGACAAACCCCTTACACGTCCAGAGTGTTCAGCCGTCCCCAACGCCGCAGTAAGCTGATCTCGCTCCCTCCGTGGGACGAACTGTCCTGATCTTTCTTTCTTGACTATCTGCTGCAAATTAGTAGTCACTTCTTCTATGTCTGGAGTCTCGAATAGTATGTCTCCCTCATCCGAGACTTGACCTGTGCTGCGCGCCCAAACCCAGTTCTTGCTACGTTCAACCATGGGGTCTACCAGCAGGGGCTTACCGGCCGCGGCAAATCTTTGCTCGATCTCCCGCCATTGATCGACGTGACCAGCGTATCCGCTCGACCCCAATCTATGGGGATATCTGTTCTTCTTCGCGAGCTCGGACATTTTTTTCCTCAAAGCCAATGCTTCAGCTGTTGTACGATCCGCAACAAACGTGTCCCAGTCAGCCTGGGATATATGTCCATAATCCGTAAACGGTGGGAGATTCTTCTGAACATAATCCCGATTTAGATCGGACTTCCACTGTCGCCATCGATCTCCCATCTTTTTAAGTGCGTAATCTCTCCCCCTGACCTCTGATCCAGGAGGGAACACAAAATACTTCTGCAACTCATTCCAGAGAAGTGTCTTGATGTTGTCGTCCACTGTTTCCCACAACTTGACATTAATGGGACAACGCGTCCTAACTAGAGTGCCACAGGCGTTGCTGAACTTGGACCGCACTATCGGTGGCTCGATGGGCTTCCCATCCTGATCGAGAGCAATCACGTTGTAAGTTTCCTTGGGTAATTTATTCTTGCTTCTCTCACCACGTCTTTTTTTCCTACTCCCGCCTGCACTTGTAGATGTCTCCGTACGTTCAGGTGCAGATGTAGCGGTGTCCATCTCAACTTCTTGCTCTGTCCTGTTCCTCCCGGCTTTACGTTTCGAGCGGCGTCGGACTACCATCTGCACAGAATAGGTAACTCTATACACCATTAGGTTCATGTCACATCATAGTTAGGGAATAATACATGGCTAACGATTTTCAGCACTTACGGCCTGTTCGATAGGTATGTAGTCCGGATCATCATCGCGGGGGGCGACTTGTGTTATTTCCATTGGAAACGGGTCACTTGGTGTGCGCCACGTTTCTTCACTAGAAGCGCCTAGCTGCTTATTGCTACCGGAAATTTGAGGAGCGTTACTTTCTTGAGGCGCTATTGGTGCGTTCGATGGAACCTTTTCGTTCGACATCTTCCAACTTGACGTAAAAAAATTTGACATAAGTCCCAATTTTACGTAAGTCCCAATTTAACGCAATTTCACATAAGTCTCAATTTGACATAAGTCCCAATTTAACATAAGTCCCAATTATACATAAATCTCAATTTAACATAAGTCACAATTATACATAAATCTCAAATTAACACAGGTCACAATTTAACTTATTTTCACATAAGTCCCAATAACTTAATTTCACATAAGTCCCAATTTAACATAAGTCCCAATTTCACATAAGTCCCAATTTAACATAGGTCCCAATTTAGCATAAGTCACAATTAAACAGAAATCTCCAATTGACATAGGTGCCAATTTAACATAAGTCCCAATTATACATAAATCCCAATTTAACATAAGTCCCAATTTAAACATAAGTCCCAATTTAAACATAAATCTCCATTTAACAATCCACAATTAAACCTTCTCAAAATTAAACAATTCACAATTGCACATATCACAATCCACGATGCACAATTAAACAATCCACAATCCACAATTGCACATTTCACATTTCTAAAAAGTAAATGTTACCGAGCGACGGCGGGGACGACCTGGCGGCGGCGACGACCTGGCGGCGGCGATGGCAACGGCGAGGGGGGAGAGGTCCGTGCGGCGGCGACGGCGACCTGGCGGCGGCGACGGCGATGGCGAGGGCAACGGTCCTGGCAGTGGCGTCGGCGACGGCGAGGGGCGGGGCGACTTCGGGGAGGAGCCGGCGGTAGCGGGGACGACTTGGCGGCGGGGACGACCTGGCGGCGGCGATGGCAACGGCGAGGGGGGAGAGTTCCGTGCGGTGGCGACGGCGACCTGGCGGCGGCGACGGCGACGGCGAGGGGGGAGAGGTCCTGGCGGCGGCGACGGCAACGGCGAGGGGGGAGAGGTCCTGACGGCGGCGGCGGCGACGGCGTGGGGCGGGGCGACTTTGGGGAGGAGCCGGCGGTGGCCGGGACGACGGCGACGGCGACTTGGGAAATTTTGGCAGCCTGGCGGCTAGGGTTTCGCGGGAGCCGGGACTTAGAAAATTTTGGCTCCCCGCGCTCCCTATATATAGGCGCAGATCATCGCATGCGGGCGGCTTAAGGGACCGCATGGAAAAATATCTTTCCATGCGGTCGACATAAGCCGGCCGCATGCGAAAAAGATCTTTCCATGCGGGCTGTTAAGCCGGCCGCATGCGAAAAAGATCTTTCCATGCGGTCGACATAAGCCGGCCGCATGCGAAAAAGATCTTTCCATGCGGGCTGTTAAGCCAGCCGCATAGAAAGATCTTTTTACCAAAAAAACTCATATTTTTTTTCTCTAAGTAAACTGTCCATATATATTTTTTTCCCAATATTTCGCCACAATTATACATTCCAAATGTTTTTGGCACTAAGAAAACTCATGAAAATTGCTCAAAACTCGTAATCAAATGTTAGATGCTACATTTGCTAATGATTACAACATAAGGGGGACCTAAATTCATGCACGTACATTTGCTAATGATTACAACATAAGGGGGACCTAAATTCATGCACGTACATTTGGAATACAATGAGAACTAAAGGTTACGAAATAACTATGACTTAATAACCTTGGCAACACCATCTGCTCGAACGTACGACATATTTGCTTCATCGATTGTTCTCTCAACCTTCTTAATTCGCATAGGAAGATCAGTAAACAATGGTACATCGTCGAACTGGTTGTAATCATTGGGGTCTTCGATGTTGTCGATGCCGACGATCTGTTGCTTTCCGGATATGACAATAGTTTTTCTTTCATCTGAAGGGTCCTTCACATAAAACACTTGAGCCACACGCTCTGCTAAAACCCATGGATCATCCTTGTGGCCTGTTTTACTGTGATCGACTATCGTTAGCCCGTAGTCATCAACGGAAACCCCTATTGTGTCTTTAACCCATTCACAACGGAGCACAGGGATCTGGATGTTTAGGCCATAGTCCAGTTCCCATATTTCTTGAATGGTCCCATAATACGACCTCTTTTCTCCACTCGTGTCAATTGCTTCGACACGGATCCCACTGTTTTGTGTGGTGCTTTTCATGTCCTTCGTAGTCGTACTCAAGGTAAATCCATTGATGTCGTAACCTTGCCATGAATTGACAATACTTGAAGGCCCACATGCCAATCTTTGTAAAGTAAGTTCCTCCACAGAATCACCAACTGGCAGGTTTAGATCTTTCAACCACAGAGGAAAGCGACGCTTGTGCTCTCTTGATATCCAATCATTGGACCGCCCTGGGAAGCAGGCTTTGATTTCTTCTAGGTGTCGCTCAATGAATGGCTCAACGATAGCGAGCTGTTGAAGAACGCTGTTGTGTGCCGCGGACACCTTTTTGTAATCATTATCGAAGAACTGCTTCCTACCAACAGTACCCCTTCCAGACAATCTACCTTCATGTCGATGAACAGGAATGCCAATGGCATTAGCATCCTTTATGTAGTCCATACAACACTCGACTGCCTCTTCAGTTGTGTATCCCTCTATCATTGATCCTTCCGGGTGAGCGCGATTGCGTACATAGCCTTTGAGGATCGACATGTAACGCTCATAGGCCCACATCTGATGTAAGTATAATGGACCAAGTTCAATAATCTGAGGGACGATGTGAACGATCAAATGCTCCATCATATCTAAAAATGATGGTGGGAAATACATCTCAAGCTGGCATACAGTCTCGACGGCAAATGTCTGAAGCGGACCTAATTCCAAAGGATCAAATACTTTCTGCGAAATTCGATTGAAAAAGTAGCACAACTTTGTTATAACCACCTTTGTATGGACTGGTTTGACTGCCCTTATAGCAATTGGTAGGAACACCGTTAGCAACCTATGACAGTCATGCGCATTGTATCCCGAAATGGACAAATCCTTCATTGATACTAGCTTCCTGATGTTCGATGCGAAACCAGTAGGCACTCTAACCCCTTGTAAACATTTACAGAAGGCTTTTTTCTCATCAAGTGTCAACGAGTAACAAGCAGGAGGAATCTCGGTCTTCCCATTTGGCAGCAGTACTGGGTGAAGGTCATGCCGTATGGACAAATCTACAAGGTCGTTACGTGACTTCAATCCATCCTTCGTTTTACTCGGGATGTCCAGCAATGTGCCAACGGTGCTATCAAACACGTTCTTCTCGAGGTGCATAACATCAATTGCATGTCGAATCTCTAGGTCCTTCCAGTAATCTAAGTATGTAAAGAAAATTGAGTGCTTCTTGAAAGGCGACGCAGTACCGTTGTCACCATCAGCTTTCTTCCTCTTTACTGTCTTCTTCTTTCCCTTTCCATATACAACCTTAATCTTCTTTGTTATCTCATACACGTATGTACCACCTCTTGCTACTGGGGCAGTGTCATTCTCCACTGTATTATCGAACAATCTAGCCATCTTACGGTACCTATGTCTTTGTGGTAGGAACCGTCGATGTCGCATATACACTGTCTTCAAAGACGACGTCAGGTATTTGTATGAAGTTTTCTCCAGACATATCAGACATCCAGTCTTCCCTTTAATCTGCCCAGATAATGAAAAGTTTGCAGGTAGGTCATTGATGGTAACGAATATGATCGCACGTAGATTGAAGTGCTCCCGCTTAAACTCATCCCATAGTCGTAACCCCTCTTTCCAAAGCTCCTCCATGTCCTCCATCAAAGGCTCAAGGAAAACATCTATGTCGATTCCAGGTTGGTTTGGACCTTGTATGAGGATAGTGAGTAGAATGTACTTTCGTTTCTGACATATCCATGTTGGAAGATTATACATTGTGAGAAGGACTGGCCATGTGCTGTGCGAGCTGCTTAAGTCACCAAACGGGTTCATTCCATCAGTGCTCAACGCAAACCTTACATTCCTAGGATCCTTAGCAAATTCTGGGTGTTTTGCATCAAATGTCTTCCACTGGCGAGCGTCGGCGGGATGTCGAATCATACCATCTATTTTCCGGCTCTCTTGATGCCATCTCATCAACTCAGCATCAGTCGGGTTTGAGTACAGACGCTTCAGGCGGTCCTTAATTGGTAGGTACCACATCACCATTGAAGGAATCTTCCCGCGCTTACCCTTATCAGAATCTGGATCGGTACACTCTGAATCTACGGGCCCATTCCCCGTTTTATACCGACTTGTGCCACACGTTGGGCAACATTCCAATTCCGCATATTCTTTACGGTATAATATGCAGTGATTCTTACAAGCATGAATCTTTTCTACACCAAGAGATAAAGGACATATGAGTTTCTTCGCTTGATACGTGTTCGATGGTACAAAGTTAGGCTTAGGAAGCAACACACGCAACAAACTCATCAGATCATTAAAACTTGTGTCCGACCATCCATGTTTAGCCTTCAATCTCAGAAGTTCAAGCACTGAACGCAAGACTGTGAAATCCTTATCACATCCCTTCGTTTCATCGTAAAGAAGATCCTTCGATGCCTTCTCTAATGCTTGCCAATTCTCCAATCCTCGTGACCTGCCCGCTAGCACCTCTGGTTCAACATGGCGTAGCATATCCTCTAAATCAAAACCACCATCGAAATCATCACTATCGGTGGAAACATCGACAACCATTCTTTCACGCGACATGTCTTCGATTATAAAATTCTCTGCCTCATTCATCTCGAAACTTAACTCTTCATCGTCATCTTCCGGATTGGCGAATTCCCCGTGATAGGTCCAAACCTTGTAGTTGGCGGTGAATCCGTACTCCATTATGTGACCCAATATTTCACCAGGATCTACCAACAATTTCTGATTCTTGCAATGACGGCACGGACAAAAGATCTTTGTCATATTCTCCCTCAAAGCATGCTCCTTAGCCTGATCAATAAATTTAGATGCTTCCTTAATAAATATCGGCTGCGTTCTCCGCATCTCATACATCCATGACGACCGATCCATCTAATTATATAAAGGCAAAAAAGTTACAGATAAAAAAAATAGACCGCAGGTATTTCATACAAAAGTTTAAATGCATTTGTCTCCCAAAAAAAAATACAACAATACATGTAACTAGTATGTACAATTGATTACATGCAAAATTTGCCCATCAAAACATATATTTTGAAGCTATATTTTGCAAAAAAATAGTTAGAACAAACCTTGTCAAAATATTAAAAAAACTCCACTTTCCACCAACGAAATATAACAAAAATGGAGCCAAATGAAGCAGGATAGAGAGTTCTTCACCTTTCGTATAGAGTTCAAGTAAAAATTTCGAGTTGAAAACCTCCCCCCTAATTGGTGCTTGCTTTAGGAGAGAGAAAGCTTCGTTTTCAAATGGTCAAGCTCGGGCCTGGAGGAGCATATATGGCCGATCATCGCATGAGGTCCCTTAAGCCAGCCGCATGCGAAGATCCATTATCGCATGCGGCTTCTTAGGACAGCCGCATGCGATAATGGGCCTATTTTCGCATGCGGCTAATCAACCCGCCCCCGGGGGGGCGGTTTTTGCAGGCGCCGCCACAAGCGGCCCGCATGGAACCTACCGACCCCCTCGTACAGAAAAACGATTTTTGTAGTAGTGTTCTCTGTTGCTGTAATTCTTGTCGTAATGGCTACGCGCACCTCATGTTGATGTAAAGAATGTGGGTAACACTACCCTTTACATCACTCTATCTTCCTTGTCCCATGCATTGTTTACTCCAATAATTATTAACTTTTCAAGTTTCACTCAAATTGAACTGTTTATCTTTCTTGTGAACCCTGTCCAAAGTCGCCCGTGCAATGGCATCTCCTGGGCGAAAACCTAGCCACTGCAGCCCCGCTCCACCCAATCCGTCTTTCTGCCGCTGGCCAACAACGCAGTGAGCCGAGATGACGGTGGTGAGGTGGGAGAGATCTGGTGGAGTTCCGGCACAAATCTCAAATCATATAATACTTTAGAATTTGTAGGATTTTAGAGATCATATAATAGTTCTGACAAATGTCAAGTAGACAGTAAAACAAACAAGCCTTCTTTTTCTGCATTACAAAATTATGCAAAATTTTAATTTTCTTTATCACTAGTGCAGAAACACTTTTCTAGGTGCCTCATAACCTATTTACATTGGTGTTTCTCGATCCGTATTAGATGAGGTTGTACAAATAATGACAAACACTACTAGGGAGCGGGAAGCTACCGTAAATTAAAGTCTATATGTATCCATGAGTTTTCAGTCAATTGTCCTCCTGAATTTTATCTCATTCTCTACAGGAAAAGGTCGTACCCCTCCGAGGTCGTACCCCTCCTAGCACTATTTTGGGCGGTTTTGGGCTAGGCTAGATAACATGGTATTCCAGCGTGGCAAAATAATAATAATAAAAATAATAATGGGCCACCTATCAGTGCTCCATATCTCCTCCCATGTTCTCTTCTACTTCCTCCTTCCTATTCATTTCTATCTCTACGACTCTACCCTTCAAACAGAGCAGGTTTGCAGCAGTAGCGGACGAGGGGATCGAGCTTATCAGTGAGGAGCTCTCTCCTCCCCCCCCACCCCCCCTTTTGGCAGAGGCGGCAGTAAGCTCAGGGCCGATCTGTTGGGAGGAGGCAGCTGGAGGCTCAGGCTGGTTGCGGTGGTCAATAGTCAAGGCGGACTGCACAAGCTCTCCCGCTGCCACCTTCTCATGTTCGTGAAGCATGGAGGGGCCACCGTTGCGGTTGCTAGCTGGGAGCTCCTAAGGCACGGTCTAAGCGTTGCCTCCACCTCCTCGTCTTTCCATCACCACGACTTTGCCCTGAGGTGTCATCACCGCATTTGCTCGAGTCACCGCCTCCATGTGAGCTCTTCCTCTGTAGTCACTACAGCCATGGCAAGGGCGCTGTTGGGTATAGCCGATGTGCACTTGCGCGATGGCGGAGGAGAAGGCCCGCTGGCGATGGCAACATCAACAGCTATCCAAGCTCATGGAGCCCCCTTTCTCCCCTCCCCATTCGAATTGGCCCTCGCCACCTCTGCTCACCTATAGAGGGCAGAGAAGGGGGAGAGGAAAAAAAAGCAGTGCTGACAACTGGGCCCTACCGGTTTTTATTTGTTTTCGCACTGTATCATCACGTGTGTGCCACCTAGGCTGAAAACCGCTATGGATCAAGTTAGGAGTAATTTGTCCGGATTTAAGAGGTTGCGGTGTCAAATGTTCGGTATTGCAGTTGAGGGAGGTAAATCGTTCTACCACAATAGTTTCAATGGGTGATTTGGACATTTCCGTTTTCTATATGCCTTAAGTTTTATTTTGATCATCTCTATACCCATGCCATTAGTTGATTGTGAATTAACTGTTAGATTTTTTAGAAATAACTATATTGCCCTCTGCTTGTACAATGAATTCTCAATGTGAGAACAAACTTAATCTACAATGATATCAAAAGGGGCAGAATAATTTGACACCAGATTTTCAAACAAAATTTAAATGATGAAATCCACACATAGGTTTCAATGGGAAAATTGAAATACCAAATTTTTTTTATTTGAGTTTAAATTTCAGCAAAATTTTGAACAAATCTGATGAAATCTGATTTGAAATTTATTTAAATAATTTAAATTTTAGTTTTCAAATTTTTTTATGTCTCTCTTGATTTTATAAATGAACCAATTTTTATGTTGAGGTCCGTCTTTTTTTCCAATCTACTAGCATATAAGTAAGAGATAAGGATAATATTGATATTTTATAATAAATCTAATGGTCAACAAACAGTCAATTCACGAAATTAATAAGCATAGGGCGGATGAAAATATATTTGAGAAGATTTCAGGTCACCAACCGTAGCGAAAATCAATTCTCTTGTTGTCACTTAAGAGATCAACTTGCATGTTTTTGGAAGCAGATCTCTTAAGTGACAGCCAGTGAAAATCGGATTTTCGTTAGCGACCAAAGAGCACTAGCTTTGAAAAGCATCGCCACTTTAAAAAATCGGCCACATTAAAAAACCACTACACACATCTCCTCCTCCTCTCCAGATCCACCATCGCCCCTCCTCCTTCTATCCAGATCCACCCCTCCTCCCTCACTGGCGGCACCTCCCTCACCCACCAACACACCCCTCTCCTCCTCCCTCCCCACCGACGGCGACTTCGGCAGCAGTGAAGGGGAGGGGCGACAGCAGTGACCAGTTGCAACAACTCGTGTGGGTGGTGGATCCGGCAGTGGGGACTCCCGGAGAAGAGAGACATCGTCGGCCGTGCTCAGGGGAGGCAGATCTAGCATTAGCGGCGCTCGGGACCTCGAGCACGTGCCGGGGGCGCAGTGCTCAAGTGTGACAACAATGACCCTGAGTCCTGAGTTCACAGCGATCATGATGACCTCGAATCGACCTCGACCACGACGACAACCTTGAGTGTGATGACGCTGGCGACAACTATGTAGACCTCAATTGCATAACGGGGTACGACGGATCTAGCCGGGATTTGGGATTTGGGATTTGTGATTGTGACTGTGATTATGATTTGGGATTTGTCACAGTGATTGTGGATCTTGATTTTTATTTTTTTTTCTCCCAAACATTTTCGCTAGCGGATCTTTTTAGGTATAGTCGATGAAAATCATTTTTTTTTGCTGGTGGCCTTCTTAGTTTGGCCAACTGCGAAAGTTAATTTTCACTGGTGGCCACCCACCCGCAAGTGAAAATTTACTATTTTCACTGGCTTTAGGTCACTGACGGCACTATCCGCTAGAAAAAAATTGTTTTGGTTCCCAGACAAAACCTGTTTTGTAGCAGGGCACCTAATACAGCCTCCTCTGAAAATTATTGTATTTACATGGGCGATCCATGATATTCTATTTTTCAAATATGAGCATGGCTTCTGCAACCAGGCATACATCTCTCCTATTTAACAATCTATAATCCTTCACCCAAACAATTTCATGTAATGTTCCATACAAACTGTTCCGCCACATATATATAACCAATAAACTGATCTATTGTTCCATACTCTCTCCATCCAAAATAAATCAACTGTTCAGATTCAATCCTAAATTGGTTTATTTTGAGACGGAGGGAATCCTACTGATTAAATTGTGATTCCTTTAGTCATAAGTATTTCACGTGTTTTACAAGATTCCATCAAATTTTATCAATTTTATATTAGAGTAAGTTCAATAATAAGTTTATAATAAAATGGTAGCACTGGTTTTCATGCGGATTCTACGTATTGTTTACGTCGAAGTTTCAAAAGTTTGATAGAATAAAGTCATAAACGTTGTGTTTACTGTTATTTTTTAACGTAATATAGTAGTTCTACAGGATTCTCCTTTTCTCAACTTAAGACGCTGTGTATCTATAGTTCTACACAGCGATGGTCAGTGATGTGTCATTTTTTTGCAACAGCAATGAGGGGTTGGCGTTTCGCGTTTGGACCCTTTGCCCAGGATTTTTGCATAGCTAGGCTGATTATTGCGACGTGCGGAATAGCTAGGCTGCTGATGGGAGTTCAGATTAATGTTCAATGTTGGTTGGGTGAGGGTTGACGTGTTCATATTTGATAATGTAACTCCGTCACCAGATGCAGCTATATCTAGAATTTAAATTCATCTTAAATATAGCTATTTCTCGGTCTACCTCTTCATCTTAACAATTACAACGATCATTCATTTAATTTTTCTACATACTTTCTTTTTCCAACCAATCAAAACCTTCAGACATTCAATCCCACCTGCTTTTTAAATTCCTGTGGAAGCCTAAGAAAATACCTACATTTTATAACGAAGTATGTGATCCGGATTTCAGCATACAATATATTCAAATTAGTTATTTTCCTAATATATTTGAATTAATTAGTTTCATAGTAGAACTTATCTTTTCATATTAGGACTGTTGGTATTTTATCCCTTATGTACTTAATTACCAACACATACGTTATGCAGGCTATTATTATTTATACTATAGAAAAATGCCCATACGTTGCAACGGGTGAAATCTATTTTAATTTTATTATTGTTATATAGTTTAGTTAAGATAAATTTCACTGTGGGAGTTCACTTGGATATATATATATATATATATATATATATATATATATATATATATATATATATATATATATATATATATAAAATCATGAGCTACAGTTATGAGTAGGATCGTCTCAAGTTAGCATGCGAGTTTTTTTAAACATATTTCTTATATGATTCCATCTGTATTACCAAAAAGTGAACAATCTTAAAAACCGACTCAAATACGGATATGTATTTTCAAAAGTAAACGAAATTAAAAACCGACTCATACACGGATGACATACCAAAATACCGGCAAAAATATCTTTAATTTTGATAATAGTAGAGATAGACATGTGTAGTAAAAGTTTAATTCTTTGTTAAATACTCTCTCTTTTTCCAAAATAGGATTCAAAATTTGTAGCACAATATACGAATTTCAGGGGCACTAATGTCCAATGCTCTAAAATCAAAACGTTGTCAACCAATCAGGTGTTTGGAAGAGTAATCTAAGAACGTCAAAAATCAAAATTTAACCACTACTATGACTGAAAGGAACTCTTATAGAAATGCTTATATTTTGGAACGAGGGGAGTACATTCTTATTAATTTCTTTGGAAAGTTATATACTAAACAATGTTTTGAAAATTGTAATGATAAAGTAATTTTATTTTATTAGTAGTTCAGGAAAAAATAAGTGATCAAAATTATATATAGAATTCATGATAATGTTCTTGTTTATCACTACTACATAAAAGAACATTGGT